TTATATATATAAAAATAAAGCTCTCTCCGCTGGAGAGATAGGCTATTCTCTCCAGCCTTTTCAGCGGAGAGGCTGGGGATATATATATATATATATATATATATATATATATATATAATATTATATATATTTCCCTGATGAGCACTGATAATCTAGCATTATAAACCAAGAATAAACTGCTCTTTATCTAAAACAGACTTACCTCACGAAATAGAAAAATATTCCCCAAAAAGGGCAAAGGTTTGGGATGTTTGATGCCACATTCTGACAGCACAGAAAACGGGTAAACAGAATACCTACAAACTCACAGTTATCAGAGGACATGCAGAGATTATCTTGTATTTATAGATGAATGTGAAACTGTTTTATTTACGTACCAATAGAGAAGACTGAGAAAAAGGAGGAACAGGGCAATAGTCACTGGCCACTCACTGGAATCCATACAAAATGCATTTGAGAAGTCCATGAGGAATTTAACCTGTAATTAAACAAGCTATTGAAACTGCAGAATAGACAGATCATTTCTCATTTCTTTTTTTTTTTTATTAAACACTACAGGTTAAACAATAAAATAAATAGTCCATGAGAGCTGATCTATGTAAAATAAATAAAATGGAATATTGCAGAGAAGATCTGATTTAATGAGCAAACTCTGTTGATAACTTCTTATTATGATTATTATAAATATTACTGATAATACTGACATTTTTTCACTTCAATTTTAAAACAAATGCTGTTTAGACACTTACCAGTAGCACCGAAGCTCATAGAATGTGTTACTGCTGAGGCCAAAGCCAAAACACCATGTGTAAACATTACACAAGTCATGTGATCATGATACTAAGCCAAAGTCAGCATAGAGTTAAAACAAACAATATTTGGCTATAACATGAAAGACTTGTGGATGAATCAGTGGATGTTTTTGATTTTATAACATGGACACCTTTAACCAGGGGTGTCAAACTCATTTTTGGTCCAGGGGCCGTATCCAACCTACTTTGATCCCAAAGGGGCCAGACCAGAAAACTCATGGCATATAAACCCCAAAAATAGCAATAAGTTCAAATATTTGTGTAGAGAAATGTAAATCTATTACTGAAATCTTTTTTTAATTGATGAACTCTTTTACAAAATATTATAATATTATGAAACAACCTGAAACTTCAAGAAAAATACAATTTCAACACAATGTTTTAACATTAACTTGTATGCAAATAGGAATAAGTGCATTTTTCTTTGAAAATCCTGCACTTGGCATCCACTTTTCTCATTTATGACATTTTTCTGATGAGGGTGTCACAGTCAACAGTCAAAACGATCATCTTTTAAGAGCGTTTGGAAAGAGACAAGTCTTCATTTGTGCTGCTCTGGTGGGAGGGCCATGCTCAGAGGTGCTGGAGACGCTGCTGTGATAAACACCACAGAAAATTAATTATATTTTCTATTAAAATATTGGTAAAATATTTTAATAGAAAATCAGCCGAGGGCCAGATTAAAGGTCTTGGAGGGCCGGATCCAGCCCCCAGGCCGTATGTTTGTCACCCTTGCCTTAAACTGTGTGTGTGTGAGTATGTGATGAAAAGAGGCAGGAGCAGACTGGGACCAAAAACGGCCCTGGATTTCCCCCCCCCCACATAAAAATTGAGGATCAGGGGGAAGGGGAGGGCGAGGGGGTGGGCAGGTACGCTCTGCTCAAAATTGGCTGACGAAAAGACAAATAACCCACGACGGTTGAATGGCTGTTCTGGAGAATGCACAGATTGACAGTCTGACTCTGAAAAGAGGATATTTAAAAGCCCTCACCTTATATCACCTCTCTGTTTTCTGTTTTACCCAGGCTGAACCACACTGCCCCCTGCTGTTCTTGTGCCTCATAGACTGTGTATGTATGTGTGCCTGGACATCACAGAAAATTATGGTTCATTCAGTGCATTTTGTGTTTCTACCAGTGATGGAACGTAACAAAGTAAAAGTAGTAAAGTACTGTACTTAAGTTAAAAAAAAAAAAAAAAATAAAAAAACTGAAGGCAACCACACACTACAGGATTTTTCACTCTTAAACAGTTTTTAAATTTGGCTAAGTGACCTCATGTTGTTTCTTGACCTTGAAAAAATTAAATATGACTTGAGAGCCCAACCAGCTAAGTTTTACACTGTACGTGACTCTATAATCAAATATACAAAATCTCTCAAATCATTATAACTTTACAGCCTTCTCAAGAGGATGTCAAGGCAAATTTTCTAATTTAGTGTGCTTCCACTGGTACAAATGGTATAAATGTGAAAAAAAAAAAGTACAATGCAGATTGTGATTTATATATGGATTAGTGAGATGGGGTATATATATATATATATATATATATTATATATATATATATATATATATATATATATATAAACACAACTATTAACTACTAAACACATGCTTTTCTTTAAAATTTTCTTTAACGTTACCTACAATCATAAACGATAAACCTTTGTGCCATTATTATTAGTTTATACGACCATAAAGGAAAAAAATAAAATAAGAACTAGGAAGAAAGTGATTGTGTTTCTGGTAGAGGTTTTGGTTTGTGTTTAAACAGTCCAATAGTGTAGAAACCTTTTAAAAAGTTTATAGTGTTGTGTTTGGAAAATACAGAGCTCTGGAGTTGATAAATTGTGCATTGAGTTTTGTTTGTTTTAATTTATATTTTGTCTCCTATACGTCCAGAATAGTTGTGAATGCAAACTTGTTGTTCATGCGTTTGGTACCTTTGTTTCAACTCGGACCCTTCCAGTCATGACCCATGTAGTTGTGGTTTATGTTTTGTTTTGTTTTTGTTTTGTAATGCTGCAAATAATCCAATAAAAAATAAATAAAAATCTCAGATCACAAAAACTGCTGCCGGATGCGAACCACATGTTGCTTTCGTGTTTCCTGTCTACAGTAAAACGACTCTTTGAGACTCTTAAATGTTCAAAATATCAGAGAACTGCACTTCCAGTTTAGATGCAAGTCAAAACTGTACGATTATTATTTGTGAAATCTGGTGTAATACTTCAGATACATGATTTAAATGCACAGCTGGCGATAATTCACAGGAAGTAGAGTCAGTTTCGCGAATCTGCAGTTTCAGCCAATCCGTGCAGTGCAGATGTAAACAGACACACGTGAGGAACTACTGTAACCTTTTTACTTTTAAGGAAGCTGGAAGATCAGTGAAGGTGTTGATATTTTGCAGTTGATGTCATTTAATCATGTATCTGAAGTATTACACCAGATTTCACAAATAATAATCGTACAGTTTTGACTTGCATCTAAACTGGAAGTGCAGTTCTCTGATATTTTGAACATTTAAGAGTCTCAAAGAGTCGTTTTACTGTAGACAGGAAACACGAAAGCAACATGTGGTTCGCATCCGGCAGCAGTTTTTGTGATCTGAGATTTTTATTTATTTTTTATTGGATTATTTGCAGCATTACAAAACAAAAACAAAACAAAACATAAACCACAACTACATGGGTCATGACTGGAAGGGTCCGAGTTGAAACAAAGGTACCAAACGCATGAACAACAAGTTTGCATTCACAACTATTCTGGACGTATAGGAGACAAAATATAAATTAAAACAAACAAAACTCAATGCACAATTTATCAACTCCAGAGCTCTGTATTTTCCAAAACACAACACTATAAACTTTTTAAAAGGTTTCTACACTATTGGACTGTTTAAACACAAACCAAAACCTCTACCAGAAACACAATCACTTTCTTCCTAGTTCTTATTTTATTTTTTTCCTTTATGGTCGTATAAACTAATAATAATGGCACAAAGGTTTATCGTTTATGATTGTAGGTAACGTTAAAGAAAATTTTAAAGAAAAGCATGTGTTTAGTAGTTAATAGTTGTGTTTATATATATATATATATATATATATATATATATATATATATATATATATATATATACCCCCCATCTCACTAATCCATATATAAATCACAATCTGCATTGTACTTTTTTTTTTTTCACATTTATACCATTTGTACCAGTGGAAGCACACTAAATTAGAAAATTTGCCTTGACATCCTCTTGAGAAGGCTGTAAAGTTATAATGATTTGAGAGATTTTGTATATTTGATTATAGAGTCACGTACAGTGTAAAACTTAGCTGGTTGGGCTCTCAAGTCATATTTAATTTTTTCAAGGTCAAGAAACAACATGAGGTCACTTAGCCAAATTTAAAAACTGTTTAAGAGTGAAAAATCCTGTAGTGTGTGGTTGCCTTCAGTTTTTTTTTTTTTTTTTTTTTTTTTAACTTAAGTACAGTACTTTACTACTTTTACTTTGTTACGTTCCATCACTGGTAGAAACACAAAATGCACTGAATGAACCATAATTTTCTGTGATGTCCAGGCACACATACATACACAGTCTATGAGGCACAAGAACAGCAGGGGGCAGTGTGGTTCAGCCTGGGTAAAACAGAAAACAGAGAGGTGATATAAGGTGAGGGCTTTTAAATATCCTCTTTTCAGAGTCAGACTGTCAATCTGTGCATTCTCCAGAACAGCCATTCAACCGTCGTGGGTTATTGTCTTTTCGTCAGCCAATTTGAGCAGAGCGTACCTGCCCACCCCCTCGCCCTCCCCTTCCCCCTGATCCTCAATTTTTATGTGGGGGGGGGGAAATCCAGGGCCGTTTTTGGTCCCAGTCTGCTCCTGCCTCTTTTCATCACATACTCACACACACACAGTTTAAGGCAAGGGTGACAAACATACGGCCTGGGGGCTGGATCCGGCCCTCCAAGACCTTTAATCTGGCCCTCGGCTGATTTTCTATTAAAATATTTTACCAATATTTTAATAGAAAATATAATTAATTTTCTGTGGTGTTTATCACAGCAGCGTCTCCAGCACCTCTGAGCATGGCCCCTCCCACCAGAGCAGCACAAATGAAGACTTGTCTCTTTCCAAACGCTCTTAAAAGATGATCGTTTTGACTGTTGACTGTGACACCCTCATCAGAAAAATGTCATAAATGAGAAAAGTGGATGCCAAGTGCAGGATTTTCAAAGAAAAATGCACTTATTCCTATTTGCATACAAGTTAATGTTAAAACATTGTGTTGAAATTGTATTTTTCTTGAAGTTTCAGGTTGTTCATAATATTATAATATTTTGTAAAAGAGTTCATCAATTAAAAAAAGATTTCAGTAATAGATTTACATTTCTCTACACAAATATTTGAACTTATTGCTATTTTTGGGGTTTATATGCCATGAGTTTTCTGGTCTGGCCCCTTTGGGATCAAAGTAGGTTGGATACGGCCCCTGGACCAAAATGAGTTTGACACCCCTGGTTAAAGGTGTCCATGTTATAAAATCAAAAACATCCACTGATTCATCCACAAGTCTTTCATGTTATAGCCAAATATTGTTTGTTTTAACTCTATGCTGACTTTGGCTTAGTATCATGATCACATGACTTGTGTAATGTTTACACATGGTGTTTTGGCTTTGGCCTCAGCAGTAACACATTCTATGAGCTTCGGTGCTACTGGTAAGTGTCTAAACAGCATTTGTTTTAAAATTGAAGTGAAAAAATGTCAGTATTATCAGAAATATTTATAATAATCATAATAAGAAGTTATCAACAGAGTTTGCTCATTAAATCAGATCTTCTCTGCAATATTCCATTTTATTTATTTTACATAGATCAACTCTCATGGACTATTTATTTTATTGTTTAACCTGTAGTGTTTAATAAAAAAAAGAAAAGAAATGAGAAATGATCTGTCTATTCTGCAGTTTCAATAGCTG